TGTTTCACAGCACACTTCCTGGCATTCTGCCTCTTGAATTCTTTCAGCCCTTTTCCTCAGTGTCACTTCAGCCACAGATGCAGGAGCTGTGATGTAAATGTATCTACTGGGGCTGGGATTTCCTCGATCTGTTAATTATGTCCAGGTGTGGTTTTCTGTGATTGTCTCCATCTGTGGTAAAGAGAGGCTTCTTTGCTGGGGGGTGGTAGCTACACTTCTCTGTGGGAATAAAGAAAAGATTAAGAATGTAGTAAGTAATTAGACTAGTCCAGCAAAGTGGCAGTAGTTGATCCTTTTCTTTCTTTTTTGTTTTGTTTGGCTGTAGCACAAATAATAAAAACCCAGAGATAGATTTGGGGGTTAAAGCTCAAGATTGATGATCAGAGAAGCAAAAGGGCCAGCCACTGGAGAGTTCCCACCTCTACCAATGCTCAGACAGAAGGGGCAATCACGTCCTCTGATTGTAACTCCAAACTACCTAGATGGAGACCCTGAGCTCCTGTCTTATAGTCCTCTCTAGTGCTGGGATTAAAGGTGTGCACCACCACCACCCAGCTTCTATGGCTAACTAGTGTGGTTGCTATGATTAAAGATGTATACTACCACTGCCTGACTTCTATGGCTGTGGCTTGCTTTGCATTCTGATCTTCAGGCAAGCTTTATTAGATCATAAACAACATATCACTACATTTTGTTTCTAATACAGGGTTTCTCTGTGTAGTCTTGGCTGTCCTGGAACTCACTACTCTGTAGACCAGGGTGGACTCTTGATCCTTTTCCAAGGTTCATGACCTCACCAGCCTTGGTAAATTGTCTAGGTATCTAGAACCAGACATGATTTCCCTCATGTTGAGTGGGCCTCAAGTCCAGTTAGTCAGCTATTGGTTACTACCAACATGTGAGTGCCACTACTGCCCCTTTATGCATATCTTGCTATGCTGTTAATTGATTTGGTTCGTAGGCGTAGTATCTGGGTAGGATATTAATTGCTTCCCTCCCTTGGAAGCTTGCATGTATCTTTTGGTACCATAGCAATCTTCAGACTAAGAAGTTTGTCTTTTGTTGCAGGGGAGGGGAGCATTCCCACTACAGTTTACATAAAAAATAAGGTCACTTCCTTTCAGAAAATTCTCTGAGTATATCATCTATCAGCTCACAGAGAACTGCCTGCCTCTGTCTCCTGAGTCTTGGGATTAAACTATGTGATACCATACCCAACATTGAGATAAATTCTTGCATTCCAGGCTGACCTCAAACTCAAAACCTATGGTAGTACCACTGAAAGGCAATGAGACCTTTAAAAGGTGGGGCCTAATATCGATATCTTCAGACTATTGGAGATGTGCCTTTGAAGGAAATACTGGCCCTTCTATATATGCATGCAGTATGTGTGCAGGTGTGTAGAGGCACATGTGCATGCATGTATGTGGGGTACATGTGGAGACCAGAGACGATTAACATCATATATCCTTTACTACGGCTCTCCAGAGTCTCTTACTGAACCAAGAGCTCAGCAATTGGCTAGACAAACTGGACAGCCAACTCTGGAGGTCCTCCCGTTTCTACTCCCCCCCCAGAAGTAGGGCTGCAGACATGCACCGTTACTCCCAGGTTCTATGTGAGTGCTGGGGAACTGATCTCATGTCCTCCTGCTTGTGTGACAGGCACGTTATGGACTGAGGCATCTCTCAGCCCTGGGACACTTCCTAACCTTTATCTCTTTCTTGAACTTGTTCTGCCATGTTGCTAAACCACAGGACCAAAGCAACAAGATCAACTGAGCATGACTTGAAGCTTCTAAAACTGTGAGTGCAAACAAACCATTTTCATGTTTAGGTTGATCTGACAGTGTTTGTTACTGTCACAGGATGCTGGCCAATGTATTTTAGAATTGGAAAGTGTGTAATGACCTGAGAAGTGAAAGAGGGGTAGGAAATAGAGCAAAAATGGGCTAGCTATTCATTCAGAAAGTCTGACAACAAATGAACTTTTAGAGTTGGGGGTGAGGACATGAGAAGGAGGCAGCTGGAGAGACTACTTTAAAGATCAGGGACAATGTGATCATATTGACCAACAATGAAAAGAAATGAAAACACCAGGATGTTCTCTCTTCTCTGCTTTCTCTTTGTTGCTTTTGCTCACAAGACACCTGTATCATGCATTCCCTCTTGACACCCTGCTAAGTGCAAGGCGTTTGAAGGGTGTGATCCATTTTCACTTACCCTGAATAGCTAGACTCTTCCTTCTATGGAGGAGGCCATCTTCAGCAGCCACCAGAGCCTCCTTAAAGGGCAAGATGGAAGGCCGTTCTCCCCTACTCACTGAGAACCATGTGTGAGGACACCATCCTTACAAGATGTGTCTCTCCACACACATGTGGACTGGGCCTGGTCTTCTACCCATTTGGCATGCTGGGAGGATCTGGGCTCCATGCCATCCAAGCTGATCTCTTGTTCCTGATAACGATCAATAATTACAATGATGCTCTGGTGGGATCCCAGGAAGCTGCGGTTCTTGGTGTTGCTGGCAGTGCAGGGTGCCAGAATGTGAGGCACAGGCAGAAGCCAAAGGGACTGCATCTCTGTGTCTGAAACAGCCCTTTTCCTAGGCGATTCTAGTGCAGATAGTGCAGATTGGATACCATTAGGTTTCTCTAAGTAAACAGGCTCACCAGCTCATCCAAGCAGAAGGAACAATCAGTCATAGAGGACAGTGTCAGGCCACATCTGGTGTAAGGCCAGCCTCCTATAGGCATTGCCTAATCCAGGACTCTTGTCCTCTCTCCAAGACTGTTTAGTTTATCCTGTTTTTTCCCCTTGACTTTGCCTGCAACACTTTCATCCCAAGTTGCCTCTGTAGTTCCCCCCTCACTTTCTTTCTAAAACCAAAAACATAAAACCTACTTATGTGTTTCTTTGTGTGGGTGTGTGCATGTGAATACAGGTACCCAAGGATGCCAGGAGAAGGTGTTGAATCCCCTGGAGCTGGAATTACAGGCACTTGTGAGCCAGCCAACATGGGTGCTGGAAACCAAACTTGGGTCCTCTGAAAATACAGAACTTAATCAAAGAATCATCTCTTCAACTCATCTTCTGTTCCTTTTCCCAGACAGGGTCTCAAGAGCTAGTCTCGAACTCACTCTATAGCAAGGATAAACTTAAACTCTGGATCATTCTGCTTCTACCTCTTGAAGGCTAGAGTTAAAACTGTGCACCACCATGCTAGGGATCTGAGTCAGGTACTAGAGCAGTTAGATGAATATTCTTCCAGCGACCTGAAATTCTCTTTGCATACCACAAATCTGATCAGAGCACACCTTTGGGGAATTTCTAACACTCTCCACAGTTTCCGCTGTGAAGCCTTCAGCCCTTGGCCATTGTCAGCCCTGCCCAAGCAGTTCATTTATTCCTGTCTTCATTTGTAGCATACTGTGGCTCATTCTTGGGGCCCTCTCATTTGTCCTTTCCCCAGTCTTCAAAAATTCTGCTGTGAGACATTATTGGGGCTCCCTTCCAACTGTCATCCATCCTGCTGAGCTTTACAAATCTTAAACATTTTCATTAAAAATAATCTGTGTATTGTGGTAATCCATCTTTTGGGGGGAAAATCAGCTTTCTTGACTCTATTACATTAAATTTTTGACATGTATAAAAGCCAGTCTTGTTCCTTATTAAGATCTTGCTTTGCAGCCCTGGTCAACCTTGAACTCATGGAAGTATCTTGCCTCAGGCTTCTGACTGTTGGCATTATGGACAAGGCCACCACACCTACTTCATTCTTTCTTATCTTTTGGGCAAGCCTTTTTTGTTTGGATATCTGTTTTCCCTCCTCTAAGGCAAAGAAGCTCACTCTCCTTAAGTCTGGAGTTGGTGGAGGGAAGACAGGATGCTTCTGAAGGATGCCAGCACCAGAGATGAGGATGCCATGGAAGGGACTGTGGGAATGGCATTCACCCCCTGCACCAGTATTCCCTTTTCACCAATATCATGAGAAGCTAGAGAGCCCCAAGTCTGGAAAGGGCCGCGGAAGAGGCCAAGCAGGGCCTCTGGCTAACCGTGTGTGTCTTGACCATTTTACCTCTCGTAACCTCTGGCTCTTCATTTTGAAGTTAGCTATAACAATATCATAGAATGAGACTTTAGTGACCAGAGCCCCTCTCCCTAATCCTTTGGTATCAGTCTTTATTTCCTATAGTTGGGCTTTTATTGCTTCCATGTTTCCTCACCAAGTTGTGTGCTCAGTTCAAGGCAAGAACTGTCTCCAGTTCATCCTAGCATCCTCCCCAGTGGTCACCCCCGCAGTAGTTAGCACAAGGAAAACAGCAGAGATTCTATGGTTCTTTTCCAAGATGATCTAATGAAAGGATTCAGAGCCCTAAACAGAGACCCCTCTCCTGGTTCCTTTCTTTAGGGAGGTTGCAGGAGAGTAACAACGTGGATCGCGCAGACAATGTAAGATACCGGAGTCTCAGTTCCAGTTTGCCAGAGATGGATTTCACCTAACAGTCTAGCGGGAAGCCGTGCGCTGCTCACTACAGCGGTTCCGCCTCCTTTGTGCTGTATCAGGTGCAAATCCCCGGAGCGCGGGCTGTGCGCGCTCGCGCTTAGAAGCGCGCACAGAAAAGCCCAGCCTCCGCCCCCGCTCGCCCTCCCAGCTCCTCTAAGATTACTCGGCTTCCCCCTCTCCAGCCAGCGAAGGGAGGAGATCGGACACGTCGCCCGCCTCCCAGCAGGGCTTGACTTCGTGCGGGCGGGCGCGGGGGAGGGGGAGCCTGGGACCCGCCGCTCCAGCCCGCTGGCCTTCGAAAGATCCTCCTGGGCCAATGGCAGGCGGGGCGACGAGCCCTGATTGGTTCAGGCGCTCTGCTGATCACTGTGGAAACCCGGGTGGCGGGGAACTCGGGAGGATGCGGAGCCCGGCGCGGGGAGGAGGGGTGGGGGGGAAGTATGAGGGGTGGGGGGAGGAGGCGTCGAGGCTCTGAGCTACCCTGGAGTTTTCACTAAAGGCAAAAGTCCACAGCAGGCGGACCGAGGGTGGGGCGGAGGAAAGGAACCGCTTGGGGGCACTGGGAAGCTAGGGGTACTCCAGAGGGAAAGCAGGGATACTGGCTAGCCAGTAAAGGCGAGGAGGAGCGAAGGCGAGGGGAGGAGGCGCGGTGGGAGGAGGAGTAGAAGACAAAAGCCGAAAGCGAGGAGGGCGCCGACCGCACACTGCGGCCGGGAGAGGGACCGTCTGTGCTGTGAGCCGCTGGCGCCCGGAGGCTGTAGCGCACGGGGCATCCGGGTGGACAGGCAGCATGGGGAAGGGAGGTAACCAGGGTGAGGGGAGCACGGAGCTCCAGGTTCCGATGCCTACCTTCCGCTGGGAGGAGATTCAGAAGCACAACCTGCGCACCGATCGGTGGCTCGTCATCGACCGCAAGGTCTATAACGTCACCAAATGGTCCAAGCGGCACCCGGGGGGCCACCGGGTCATCGGACACTATTCAGGAGAAGATGCTACGGTAAGGGTCTGGGGGTGTCAGCCATCCTTGTCTGCTGCAGGCCGGTGTCAGGAACTCGGGGTCCTTGGGCGCCAAACAGATCTCCAGTTCTGAATGGAGCGCAGGACGTCCAGGAGGGAAAAAAAGTGTACCTACTGTTCTCATCTCGCGCCCGGAATCGTCCTTCCCTGGGCCAGCTGGGCAGACTTGGGCCGAGCCTTTTGGACCCCCAGCCTTAGCACCTCTGTGGAAGTCCCATCAGTGGCAAACTGTGCCTGGTGCATGTCTACAGCGCACACTGCGCGCGGGTCCAGCCGGAGCCAGGGACTCTCCCAAGGGGGCGCTCTGGCCTTCGAGCTTTGGCGCTCCCCATGTGGAAGATGGCCACCCTTGGGCGCCGGGAAAGGAGTCTGAGAGCGGGCAGCCATATGTGGGACTCTCCTGCCAGACCAGGGGGGTGGAGAAGGAAACCTGGTTCCTGGCCAGGACTCGCTCCTGCTTGGACTCCTGTCTGAGAAGGTCCACAATGGCTGCCCGACAGAGACTGCCCAATAGCTCAGGTTCCCACGCTCCCGAGGATTATCCCGACTCAATCCAAGTGCCAGCCTTCTGGGAAACCCTGGTGGGGAATTGATGGAAGGCAAAAGGTTGGCTTTTGCAAAGTCCAGGTCCAGAAGGGGATCTAGAAGGTGAATTTGGTTAGCACCAAGACTGGCTTGGCAACAGGTCCATCTGCCTCTGGGGTTACTCCCGGACATTCATTTCAATAGCCCTCTGTTTTTAAATCCTGCCAGGATCGCCCTTTTTTCTTGCACTCCTGGAGGTTGTTGGAATCTCGGGTACCTCTCTGGAACCAAGGTTGCCCTTATGCCCACCAAATGTGTAGCTCAGCAATTGCATAGAACCCCACACTATGCCTGGCCCCACCCCCAACCGTAAAGGATTGTGTGGTCAGGTGGGTAAGAGGAAAAGCAAAGTCAAGTAGGAAGACCGGACCTTTTTGGCGGTGGTGGTGAGCTGAAGGCAGAGGAAAGATCGAGGCTGGAGAGAACGTGGGAAAGATGAATGTGAAGAGGCGAGAAGAGGGATGAACTCAGATCGCATTCCACCTGAAAGTCCAGGGCACTGACCTGTTTGTAGGCTTTGGTTGTGCAAGTTTGTTAGTTTCAATTTGTAACTTCCACCTCTTTTCTTCTCTTTGAGATCAGCCTAGGTAGCCATACTCTAAACTAATCAATGGACTGGAGGCTTTGATCAACAGGATATACTGTTACTCAAGACTGAGGAGAGAACTGGCCTTATTCATACTGCCTAAAGCATGTTTTCCTTGCTTGTGGACCCTGCTTAAGCCCATGGGACTGGTGGTGCTAATCACACCTTAGGTGGGTGTAAGCTTTTCATACTCCTTGAGTGCCCTAGTTTGGACCTTTCCACAACCAGAGAGGACCTTGGTTTCCCAGTGAGAAGATGTCCCAGCACCACAGCCTGTGCATGACTCTGTAGGTGAATCATAAAAGGCTCCTTCCCTTTCCAGGGTCTCATCAAAACATTTCCTAAAAAGTAAAATGATAAATGTGATAGATTTGCTTATTCTCTCTCGTGAGAGAAATAGGTTTTCTCATGTGGAGGCTTAATCAGACAACAGCCTTGAACTTTGTAGTTTGCTTAAAAACTCAGTATTTCATTCTCAGTGTTTCCACTGTGCTTAGAGCAAAGCCATCAATACCTGAATGGCTAAAAGCTCCTGCATGCTAAAAGCCTGACATGCTTTTCGCTGCTGACCTCATTGTTTTCGATGTCATTTTCATTGATTGTTGAGTCTGGTGCCTGGGATGTTAATCAACCCATGATAGGAAAGGTAAGGTGGGACTCAATATAGGCTGTAGATATGATCACTGGGTATGACCCCTTACATGGTGTCACCAGGTGGAGACACTCCCCCATCCTCACCCCCACCCCAGTGAGTACCAGAGAGACATAATGGAAAGTTATTAGGAAGCAAGATGAATGCGACAACTAGAATGTAAAGTACTTGAGAAATGGAGACGAAAGCTAAATAGTTCGAAGCAAACTCATTTGATGCCACAATACCAAAGTCTTCCCAAATAAGACTTTTTGGGGCACAAAACACACTCCCTGGAGATAAAGTTGGAGAGCAGTGGTATTTTCCTTTTTATACTGTCTAAGACCAGTTTGGAAAAAGGTCTTGGGCAACAAGGAGATCTTCAAAGGGAACTTCAAGAACAGGAATCGCTCTCCAGGTTGTTTTGCAAGTAGCTTTGCTCCTTAGTGGCCTTGCTTTCTTTTCAGAGCTTGAGGGGAGTGATGGAGGATGCACTGAGGTTTGGGGAGAGACTGATGAGCAGATAGAGGCTGAATCCCTCGACCACTTTCATTGTTGCCTGTCCAGGGATATCTGTGACGTCTTGACAAGAGGTTGGAAGGGGAGGCCCGGATCGAGGAAGCCGTTTTGAGGACAATCTAGGTATTCAGTGGAGAATTTTCTGTTTTTGAAGAAAACACCTCAGAGTGCTCACTTCTTTCCTAGGACAGAGCAGTTGTCACTTGGTCCTTCTGTAATCCTGTAAGACCCTGGCCTTACTTGTATTAGTAAAAGTCTTTTAGATTAGGGCTGGAGAGATGACTCATGGTAAAGAGTACTTACTGACTGCTCTTCCAGAGGTCTGGAGTTCAATTCCCAGCACCCACATGGCTGCTCATACCTGTATGTAACTCCAGTTTCAGGGCTTCTGACACCTCACCGAGAAATATATACATGCAGGCAAGACACCAACAAACATGAAATAAAGAAAAAGATTGAAAAAAAAGTCACTTAGTAGCGTGCGCCCAGAGCCCCAGCTACTCAGAAGGCTGAAGTAAGAGGATCACTTGAACCCAAGTTTTGAGACCTGCTTGGGTACCATAGAGAGATTCTGCCCCTAAAAACAGTGTAAGTTTTGCAGCTCATAAGCCCATTAGTATATGCTATCTCATTTAATCCTCAGATCAGCCCTGCCGTTGTCCTGTCCCGAGGCTCAGAAACCCTGCTCAGGTGTTCAGCCCTAGCTGTCAGGTGTTCAGCCCTAGCTGTCAGGTGTTCAGCCCTAGCTGCTGGCACCAAGCCCTCCAGCCTCACCTTCCTCTCGCTCCCCTCCCCACTCCTCTTCCTGCATCTTTAGTAATTTCCTGCTGGTCCCCCAGAGCTTCTCCTGTCTTGGTTTTGCTCACCTCCCCCCCCCAGCCAGTGTTTGCGCATTTCTTGGGAATCTGGTCAGTGCAAAATGAATCCCACTTGTGAATTTTCACCTTCAGCAAGAGCTCATCAAACATTCATTGATCGTCTCCATGGCTCTGAGCAGGGCCTCAGCAAAAAGATGAATAATTCACAGGCAGTGGCCTTCATCCACTGGACTGTGTCCCTCCTTCTTTTTCTTTTTTTCCCGACTGGGGCTTGAACTTGGATCCTCCAGCTCTAGATATTCACCTCTCCCACAGCCTACCTTGTTTTGTCTATGCTTTTTGGCCCATCTGCCTTGCTTACTTACCTCTTAGAGTCAAAGGAAGGCAAAGGGGACCAGAGGTGAGTTTTGTCTTTCACCCTCTCTTATATTGTTCTTGTAAAAAAGCAGCAGTTGAAAAAATGGAATTGTGCCCCTGACAGGGTAGGAGGGTCAGGGTATCAAAAAAGACCTGAGCTGGGAGTTTCTAGGCCTGGAAGGCAGTTTGGTGGGAGGAAGACCCTATATCCAGCCCCAGCATCCCCTTATAGTGGTTCTAATAAAATACAAATGGAATTGGGCTGGGGAGATGACTTAATATTTAATATAAAATGCTTACTGCCCAACAGTAAGAATGAAGCTCGGATCCTGGAACCCATGTAAACACCAGGTGGTGGTGGTAGCCAATCCTAGCCTCTGAATGCAGAGGAATGGGACCCCCAGAGAAATCTGGTAGTGAGGCAAACCATACCAGTGAGCTCCAAGTTTGCTTCCCAAGCCCTGCCTTGGAGAATAAAGTGGAGGAGCAGTTGAGGATGGTTCTCAGCATTAACCTTGAGCCTCCACATGTATGCACACATGGGCACATGCACATATCCATGAAAGGGGAAAACAGGGAAATGGCATCACATCTTCATGCTCCATCTGCCTCTGTGGGGACTTACTTCCTGTGCAGCCAGGGAAGTCCACACACCCTGTGTTAGCAGATATTCTCTTACCAAGGGGCTGGCTCATGGGCCCCTGAATGCTGCCTACCTAGTCAGCCTCTTCTTGGAGAGGACAAGAAGGAAGTCAGAAACTCGTATCCCTGGTGTCTGACATCTTTTTAAATCTCTACCTGTGAATTCCAAAGGTTCCCCCCCCCCCCCCCCCCCCCGCTTCTCCGTCTGCTTTGAGCAGGCATCTAGGAACCCTGAACTACTGCATGACACGCTGTGTGCCCTCACTTACTGAGCCTGGACTTCTCAAATCCCCTGCTAACTTCATGGGTATGGAAAGTTACTTTATCCTAGCTGTGCTGTGCAGAAGAGTCTGGGCATGGTCAGAAACAGGGTTTTGGGCCTTGAGGTCAGTGCAAGGACAGGAACAGTGAGTTCTGTCCAGAGGTGGCAGAAGCAAGGAAGCTGTGCCTAGAGGAGGCAGCTGGATGGCTGCCTAAGGTCTAGCAGACGGCAGCAAGTGCAGTACTTAAGGATCTGGGGACCGCCCCCCCCCCAGGTGCCTGCTGAGTTCTCCTCCACCTGTGTGCTACTCCTTCCACCATCCCTGAGTCTTGGCTTGCTTCCTAGAAAGTCTTGGCTTCCTTCTCTCCCTGTCAGAGAAGGAGAGCCTGCTTCGAACTCTGGTTCCAGAACTATCATTTGGGTTGGCCTGGCCTTGCCTTACACTGTGGCCCACTCTGCAACCTGACTGTCCTGTAACCAGACAGCTGTTGGGAACCGCCGTGTTCAAGGCACATCTCTGGCCCCTTGAAGCGGGGCTATCTGAAGTGATCAGTTCCTAAAGAAGAGAAAGCACATTCAAGGGAGGCCTTTTCCTCACAGCAGAGAAATCAGCCATCTAGCCCAGGCTCTGCCCAGCCAACTCCTGAGTGTGACTATGGACAAGTGAGGTCACCAACCTCATTCTCTTCTCATCAATAAAGCAGGGCCCCGAAAGGCTAGGCTGTTACTCAGTGGTTATTGCTTGTTTAGCATGTGCAAAGCCCCAGGCTTCATTTCTAGTACTGCACAAACAAAAGGCAACAACAAATGACCTACCTCCCAGAGCTGGGTAAATAGTGGCTGATGACTCAGGCCACTCATGTGGCACAACTCCTAGCCTATGAAATGACAACTAGACCCACCCCAGAGTGTGTGTGCCTAAAAATGATGAAAAAAAGTTCCCATGTTCCAGAAGTATCAGCTAGGTTGTATAAAGAAGACAGAGAGCAGAGTCTACACTGGGCTACAGGATGGGAGCATATACTAGAATAGAGGTTCACAGCCACTGGGCCCTGGGGTTCTTCAAGCCTTCCTTGTGAAGCAGTTGTGGGAATGGTCACAGCAGGCTAGAGGAGGTCCTTTCACCCCTAGGTGACAGGCTTTACATAATCATGCCACAGTTTTGTGTGTTTGTTTTTTGAGACGGGGTTTCATGTATTTCAGGCTGACTTCAAATTCACCTAGTAGCTGAGAACAGCTTAAACTTCTGACCCTCCTGTCTCAGCTTCCACACCTGGTTTGTACCATGCTGCCGCTTGAACCCAGGGCTTTGTGCACACTAGGCAATCACTGTCCCAGCTGAGCTATATCTACAGTTTAAATATGCATGTGGTGTGTGTGCCCGAGTGTGTGCGCTTGTGGAGGCCAGAGTTGATATCAGGTACCTTTTGCTATTGCCACTTTATTTACTGAAGCAGGATGTTGCACTTGCTCTGGGGATCTCCTGTCTCCATCTCCTGGGCACTGGTATTACAGGCAGGTTGGATTTTATGTGAGTGCTGGGGATTCCTACACCAGTCCATACTTGCATGCCAAACACTTAATCCACTGAGCCGCCTATCTCCCCAGCCCCCCAGTTAGTGGTCCTGATGGGAGTATGAAGAAGAGGAAACCGAGAAGCCTAAAGCTGGGGAGGACTGAGAAAAGTTTCTGGCAGGTAACACTGAAGCAGGTGCTATAGCTCCAGCACAGGTGTGGGAAGAAACTTGAGTCTGTTCTGGAAGCTGCTATGCTGGCCAGAACAGTATTCTGGTCCCATGGAACACTCCACTCATTTTTTTCTGAGTGTATTAGAGGCATCAGGGAAAGAGGCATTTCTGCTCTGCTCCTGAGTATTCAAGACCTCACTGCCTGGGAGCTTTGAGGCTCTGAAAGGCCCTGGCATGTGGCTGTGTCCCTCACCTGATTTCAGAGAGCTGAGATTGTCCCAGAGCCCTGTGCAAATGGCTAAGGAGTAACTAAGGTTAAGATAGGGTTATTTGGCCTCATACCTGGAAGCATCCTGGATGGAGGGGGTGGTTTGTGTGCACAGGAAGAGCTTAGGTGAATGAAGACACCTGCTAGCTACCAAACTTTACCTTAACACCTTTCAGCAAGTGGAAAGAAATCTTACTTTCCTGTCTATAGGAAGGGGACCTTGCCTTTGGCAACTCTCCCTGGTCTTTCTTCTCAGAGTTGTGCTAGTTTTGTTTTGTTTGTTTGTTTGGTTGGTTGGTTGGTTTTGGAATTTTGTAGAGAAGCCTTGAGCCTGGAGCTAGCAGAACTGGCTACCCTCCTCACTGTGCCTGAAGCTCATTGACAGCTGGTTTCTCTCTCTGATAAGAACCTTGGGGTTGATCTGGTCCCTTGTTTTAATCTTGCCCTTTCCATTCAGCTAGGGGAGGTTTATTTATCTTGTTTATTTGTTTTTAAACTCTGCCCATTGTTCTCTTGTATAAAATGTTACTTTGCAGGTTCACATAATGGCCTTGCTGGGATTACAGACATCACCCTCTTTCTAAATGTAGAGATTGAAAGATAAAGAAACTCTGTCTTTTCTGAACCAGGAATTACTAATAGTAATGTTTGATCACATTTGCTTTGTCCTAATATATAGACAATTTTCTTTTGAAATTAAGTTGTATCAAAATCAGGTGTGGTGGTGCATACCTTTAATCCCAGCACTCTGAAGGTAGGGCGAGAGGATCGAGGATTCTAGGCCAATCTTGGCTACATAACAAATTTGAGGCCAGTTTGTGCTACATGATATATTGTCTCAAAAAGAGCAAAGCAGGGTGGGCAAGTGAGTCATCTGATTGGGCACTTGCTGCCAATGCTGCCAAACTGATGACTTTGGAGTTCAGTCCCTACTACCCATACAGCAGAAGGAGAGAATGGGCAATCCAAACATTGTCCTCTGACTTCCACATCTGCTGGGTGTACACATAAATACATAAATGTTAAAAACAAATCAAGTAAAACAGGCTGGAGAGGTGGCTTAGTGGTTAAGAGCACTGTCTGCTCTTCCAGAGGCTCTGAGTTCAATTCCTAGCAACCGCATGGTGGCTCACAACCATCTGTAACTCCAGTTTCAAGGTATCCAACGCTCTCTTCTGACACACACATGATATACATACATATATACAGGCCAAATACTCATACATATATATATATAATAAAAATATCTAAACTTTTTTAAAAAGTAAAACATCAAAGAATTGCAGCATCACGTGATAGCTCTAAAAGCTTCAGCATCTTCTTCCAAGCATAAGTGATAATCATAATACCTTTATCACAGCCACAAAAACAATCAGAAGCTGGAGCTGTGCTTCATCTGGTAGAGTGTTTGTCTAGCATGCTCCTGGATTCAGTCCCAAGCATTGCATAAACCAGGCATGGTGGCACACGCCTGTAGCCTGTAGTCCCAACACTTGGAGATTAAAGCAGCAAGATCAGGGTCATCTTTGCCTACATATGAGCTTATGGGCCAGCCTGGGTGACATGAAACTCTGCTTTACAAAATTAATAATCCCTGCTGGATCAAAAATCCAATGCCTGTTTTAAATTTCACATCTACCTCCCAAGAGTGTTGTGTAACCTGTTTTCCCTCCAGCCAGGAGCCTTTTGAGTGAACGTTTGTGGCCTGTGTGTCTCCATTTAGACCACTGTCCCCACACTTACATCTCCCCACCTCACTACGTTGGTTTTTCTGGTTGTTTTTCCTGGTACCATCTGGCTTGTTCAACTCAATCCTGCAGTGCCTCAACTCAATGAGTGGTGGGAGGCAGGATAAACGTGAAACTGGAGCCTCTGGTTCCACGCCCTGGGAGGGATGTTTGATTTTGTAGAGATAATTTTTGTCATGTGTGTGCTGTGTAGAAGAAGCTGGCAGAACTACTGCCCACATGATGATTATTTTTCTCCTTTATTCTTCTGGGTATTTACTAACATTGCCAGAATTAAGCACTTTTTCACTTGATCTTTAGAACAAGAAAGGTTAAAGTGTAGAACGTGATAGTAACGTTAGAGGAAGTTTGCAAACTCATGGAAATAAAACAAGACATAACCCATGTCTGTAGCAATAGTTTAGATACCACCCCCACCCCCACTCCATGGCAGGGCTTTTGGAAATTATTTTACATAGTTCTAGGTTATTTCTTTCTCCTGTTGTTGTTTAATGTCATCTAAGCACATTTTCCATGCTGTAGTCATTTTCTTAATGTTAGGGGTCGAGCTGAGTGCCTCACACATTCTGGGCAAGCATTTTTACCACGGAGTTAAACCCCTACCTCAGGTCTTATCTCTTCACTGATAATTGTGGCCATGTGGATGAGGAGGTCTATGGAGTGATGGGTGGTGTGGTTTGTGCACTTCGAAAGACACTCAGCTCAGGAGCAGGCCAGGGCTGTCTTCCATGAGTCCTGTGCCTACCTGCTACACCTCCAGGGAGACCTGTCTGTCCACAGACCCTTGACCAGCTCAGCAGGCCTGGCGCCAGTGCAGAAGCTCAGGATGGTTACTGTTTGCTGCTGGAGTCCTACAATGGCAAAGTGTCCTGGGGAATGTGTCTGGAATGAGCTCTTGACACTGGGTGGTGGGAAGCCCCACTTGCTGTGTGAACAGAGACTTTCCCAGAGTGGGAGGAGCCAGCGGAGGGCTGAGGCCCAGCTTTACCGCCTGCTTCTCTACTTCCCAGGATGCCTTCCGTGCCTTCCACCTGGACCTTGACTTCGTGGGCAAGTTCTTGAAGCCTCTGCTGATTGGTGAGCTGGCCCCAGAAGAGCCCAGCCTGGACCGGGGCAAGAGCGTGAGTGGGACTGTGCACCTGAGGGAAGTGGGTTGAGGCTGAGTGGACAGGAGGGGAGAGAGTACTTTCTCTCCAGGACCCCACTGTCAGGCTGTAGCAGGAGAGGCCTTGAACCTGACCAGGAGGACGACCTCAGATGTCCCCTGGGACCCTCCGGCTGGATAATAACTAATGGCTTCCCCCCTCATCCAACTGGACTCTTTGCCCTCCCCTTCTTTACTCAAAGCTGCCGGATGTTGGTCTGGTACACGACTATCTAAGAAAGGGCAGAAACAGTGAGACAGTATCCGGGAATGAAAAGTGTGGGTGTTTGGAATGACTCACTCACTCATTTGTTACTGAGTCAGACACCCTACTGAGTGCTGCCCTTTAAAGAGCAGTGTGTAAAAATCACTCCCCAGGTCTCACCAGCTGATGGCTCAGTGGTGGACCAGACCTGGCTTATAGACCAGACCTGGCATACATGATGGAGCTGTGCAGAACAGCATGTTTTAGAGTTTCTCCAACCCTCGATTGTCCCTCCCTTCTATCGTTACCTTTCCCTACTAGAGTCACCCATCTCCTGGAGCCCATGCTTTTCCTGGCCCTAAGCAGGTCCCCATCCCTGTGCCCTGAGCCTGCTGGCCTGGCATCTTATAGGGTGGGCTTGTTTAGGTCCTCAGAGGCACACCATGGTCTAGGAGCTCAGACACTTTCACATTTACAGGCATACTGTGTGTGGCTTTTGTGCCAGAAGGAGAGGGTGGGCCACCATCACCCCTGCCTGTCTGGGGAGATGGCACCTCTGACTGCTGTCTAGGGAGAGAAGTTTCCTGAGGGAAACCAGACCAGACTGGCCTCTCTTGCTCCCTGTCTGGGCTGGAGTAATTTTTCACTAGCCCCTACCTCAGAGTCCCAGCAAAGGAGGACCGGACACAGGCTCTTTCCTGGCCTGGATTCTTGGTTGGTCCTCCATAGAGGACTCTCTCCCTCTTGGGCCCCCATACTCAACACTCACTGTGGCTTCTCTGGCATTCTTAGTGTTAATGAACAGGACCCCCATCCTGCACTTGCATAAAATCAGGTAGTGAAAGATGCAAGTGCTCTCTTCTGAGGCATAGAGGTCATTGGCATGTCAAGCAATTGCACTATTACAAAACTATCTTCATCGTCCAGTTGTACAACGTTTACACCACCTTCAACTGGTATTCTGTGACCTTAACAACAGCTCCTCTCTCCCTTCACTCACAGCCAAAAAAACATTCCATTGTCTGTAAAGCATTTGACTCCTCTAGGCACCTCATAAGTGGAATCATGCTGTTTGCCCTTTACAAAATTATATCAGTATATATTTTCTTTGTTTTTGTTTTCTTTGTTGTTTTGATATAGGGTCTCATGTAGCTCAGACTACTTTCCCCCTGGTAACTAGTGCATATTGATTGCTTCTTTCTGATGTCTCCACACAAGCATTTGTTCTTTTATAACTGGCCTTTTTCAGTTAGCATGAACTTCATTCATTATAGGACACATAGTAGCAGTATGCCAAATTTTCCTTTGTTTTTTAAGGTTGAGCAGTCTATGTGCAGAACACAATCGGGTATACTCAAACTGCAGCCTAACACAAAATTGTAAACTTACTTAAAACAAGTGTGTGCATGTGTGTGTATGTGTGTGTGTGGGGGGGGGTTGTGTGTGGGTGTGTGTGTTGTAACTTGAATTAAAAAAAGTTCTCAAGTATGGACTTTGTAGATGACAACATCGCATTCCATGCCAAGAGGCTAGATTTACCTAGAACTTAGCTCCTCATCCTCACCAGATATTTGGATTTTTTCTACTTAAAAAAAAAAAGTGTGTATGTGTGTGTGTGTGTGTGTGTGCGTGTGTGTGTGTGTGTGTGTGTGCACATGCATGTACACGTGGGTGCCTATGGAGACCCAAAGAGGACATCAGATTTCCTGGAGCTGTAATACAGGCAGCTTGAGTGGCCCTACATGGGTTCTGGGAACAGAACTTCAGTCCTCTTAACCATTGAGCCATTTCTCCAGCTCCAGTTTCTATTTTTGGTCTGTTGTGAATAATGCTTCTGCATTATTGGTTTGGAGATACAAGCTGCTTATTATTAATTATTGTTATTATTATTACACACAGTTATAGGTGGCCATTTTCACACACATATACAGTGTACTTGGAGCATATTGTCCCATATCCTCCCATTCCCCTTCTAATTCCTCCTTCTACCTCCTTTAGGTCCTTAATTATTTTAACCTTTATTTTTATTTTATGTGTTTTGAATGTTCTGCCGGTGGTATGTCTGTGTGTCATATGCATGCAGTATTCTTGGAGGCCAGAAGAGGGTGTGGGATGTCCCTGGGACTAGAGTTACAGACAGCTGAGAGCCAGCAACTGGATGCTGGGAATCGAATCCTGGTCCTATGGAAGAGCAGCAGCCAGTGCTCTTAACTACTGAGCCACTTCTCCAACCCTGTTAGTCCCTCTTGTTCCTATACAGCTTCATTTCTAGTTCCGTGTATTTATGAAGTATAGAATCCACTACAGAACTGAGAAAACACAAAACATTTGTCTTTCTGAGACTGACTTAGTTCACTTAGTAAAATTTAAAAAATACAAGCTTCTGAATCCAACTTTTCTTTTGCCTCTCATCCAGCTGTGACATGTCTGCAATAACGGTGGCCATTGCTGCATCTGGTGGCTGGGTTCACACGGGGTTCGAGGGCTTACCACGACTATAGCGTGTACTGTGCTTGAACACATGTTCCCATGGAGGGTGCAGTGGCTGACTCCCTTTTGTGTCCTTGCTCAACAGTCTCAGATCACTGAGGACTTCCGGGCCCTGAAGAAGACTGCCGAGGACATGAACCTGTTCCAAACCAACCACCTGTTTTTCTTCTTCCTCCTGGCCCACATCATTGTCATGGAGAGCATCGCCTGGTTCATCCTCTCGTACTTCGGCAATGGCTGGATTCCAACCCTCATCACTGCCTTTGTCCTTGCTACCTCTCAGGTGAGGCCTGACACCCTTGGTCATGATCTGAACGTTCCCATCCCTCAGATCCCTTGTGGCTATTTGCTGATGCTGCCATGTCATTCACAACCCTCTTTCCCCAGGCCCAAGCTGGATGGTTGCAGCATGATTATGGCCACCTTTCTGTCTACAAGAAATCCAGATGGAACCACATTGTCCACAAGTTTGTCATTGGCCACTTAAAGGTAAGTTTTTGGGGTTAAGGGTGATTGCTTAGTAAGTAAATCACTTGGGAAGACCTGAGTTTAATACCCAGAACACATGTAAAAATGCTGGTTGTGGTGTCACATGCTTGTAAGCCCAGCGCTGGGGAGGCAGAGACAGGATTCCCAGGGCTCACTGGCCAAGCAGTGTGAACTACTTGCTGAACTCCAAGCCAGTGTGAGGCTCTGTCTCAAAGGAGGTGAACAGGGTTCTTGAGGATGCCACCTAAAACTTCCTAACCTCTTTGTGTGTGTGTGCGCGTGTGTGCGCACGCACGCGCGTATACACATGTACAGCCTTCCCTCAAACATGTTGCCACATGTGCATGCACATTGAAGATGAGGGACTAGAAGATGGAGGGGTCTATCAACAGTCTGGGTGATCACCCACCCCATTAGATTAATTCTCTGTAAATGGGAAATATCCCAAGCTAAAAAGTAATTCCCTTAGTCCACCAAACCCGCAGTTTAGCAGCAAAGGCAATGTAAGGCGTTGGTTGTTTAGTGATCTATGGCTTGCTGCCACACAGTCAAAAGCCATTGTAAATCACCTCTACTGTCATTTTAGATAAGTCCTTAGCGAGTAACATCAAACTGTTTAATACTTAACTAAACCAAAGACTGAAGTTGTTTAAAATGGAGACAGAGTCGGTTCTGCTCAGATGAGGCCACGCCCCAGGAAGAGGAGTTAGTTACAGCCAAGCAAGTCTATAAAGCCAAGCCTGCCCGTGGCCTTGAGCTGATCTGATAGGTGTTACCTCAACTTGGGAAAGCATTTCTTGCCAACTGCCAGCACTGTAACAAAATGCCAGACACAAACAGTATAAGAGAGGGAAGGCTTCTTTCAGTGGCTTATCATTTCAGACATGTCACTCAGCTGTTAATTCTGGGCCCAGGTGAGGCAGAGTACCCTGCTGGTAGGAGCACGTGACAGATGCTACTTAAATCAAGACAAGCATGAGGAAGAAGGGGACCAGACACAACCCTCAAAGGTGTCGTCATGTCACCACCCCCCATCCATTGATCTACTTCTTCAATCTCAAGTTCTTACTGTCTATTAAAATAGTGCCATTGGCGTGGGCCTGAGGGATCACCCCACAAGTTCATGGAGATGTGCCATACTCAAACCATAATATACTCTCTCAAACAAACCCTACCGTCTCCCATAGTCAATCCATCCCAATAGCACATAGCTGCTTCCTCAGAAAAGCTAGGTCCCTAGACTTCTACCCTACTGTCTTTGGCTGGAGAAGAGCCCTGAGCCCTCTGCTCTATGCCCATGACCCCACTCCACCCTTGCTTTGCTATTGGATTGGATTGTGAGTGAGCCAGCAATGATCTGCTCAGCAGTTCCCAGCTAACAGTTTACCTGGCCCCGAGCCTCAAAGGGCTGGGAACCTGGACTCTTCCCAGACCCTCAAGAGGGTATTCACACAAGGGCTTTGTTGCATTTTGCACTGTCCTCTGTGGCCTAAAATCCTCCTCTGTGTAGGAAAGAAACATTTTACCAACTAGCCCTGTTCTCCCCATGCCACGAACAAAGATGGACTGTGTCCTGTTTCCAGGCTCTGGCAGGGGCTTGAGGGCTTTTTCTGCCCCAAGGCCCTGAGTCCTTGAATGCTCATAGCTTGAAACACAGCTCTTACATCAGACAGACAAGGACAGGACAGAGGGCTATAAAGCATTTGCTTGTGAAATTGGAATTTTCGGGGCTAGGGATGTCACTCAGTTGGTAGAATGTTTGCTGAGTGTCTTGAAGCCCTGGCTTCATCCCCAGCACCATATAAACTGGGTGTAGTGGTACACATTTGTTCTCTCTGTCTCTCTCTCTGTGTCTTTCTCTGTCTCTGTCTGTCTCTGCCTCTGTCTCTCTCTCCATGGTCTCATGGAGAAATTGACCTACAATTTCCATATAGACCAGGCTGGCCTCAAATTCACATTGGTCCACCTGCCGTGGAAGGGGGATGAATGAAGGTTAAGCAAGGCTTTGCCTGGTGAAGAAGAATGGGAGACTCAAGGCAGGGCTGGCAGCATGAACAGCCAAAATATCATGGTGCCTGGCCCCAAGTCCAAGGAGGGAGTAGGGAGGGAGTATGTGCCCCATCTCCATGACCTCGTTCCTCCTTCCAGCTTACTTGTTACATTCTTTGCTCCTCTGTGTCTTTGTGTCAGGGACTTTTCCATCAGATGCTTCTCTCGGGAATTTTCTTCCTTTTGGCTTCACGTGCCAGTGTGTCACTTGACTCGTTAGACCTGGGAGCTCTCCCACTCTGGCATTCTGCTTTTTCCTGGGATGGGTTTTGAAGCCTGCTGCCTTCAGGGACTTGAGGTCACTGCAAAGCCCACAGCTGTTGCCACCCATGCTGTCAGGGTTCAGAAGCTGGGCTGCATCCAAAACATTCCCTGAGTGAGAAGCCTATTTTGAGCAAATAGACCTTTTTGTAGGTGGTCAGACCCTACCAAAGCACAGAGCCAGCTACCGGTCAATGTTTTATCTGCTCCTAAAGGACAGAAAAGACCCATGTCTTACTTGGGCCACCTGGAACTTTGTTGAGTGACATACCCCTGAAGAAGGCTTTCAGAACTGGTGACATTGCAGCCTGAGGCATTCAAAAAAAATACGTAGGTCCCCTTTCTGTGCTTCCTGTATTGTGGGACCAGGATGCCATCTAAATGTTGGCTCCTCTAGGCTGTGAGCTAGCATTCATCGAAGGAGACAAATGGCAGGCAAACACTATCAACTGAGATGCATTCTGTGAAAGCTTGGGAATTCCCACCCCCACCCCCTCCTGTCTCAACTGTTTTTTCTTTCTTTTTCTTTTTTGCAGGCTTATATTAATTTTTTCAGCATATGCAATTTGTACAGAATAGTAGATTTCCTCAGGATATTTTCACCCAAGAGTGCAAACACTTTTTCATCCTTCACCCCCCCACACCGCCCCATCGCCTTCCCCCTCATGCCGGTTCTCATTCCTTCCCAGATGGTGTCACCTCTACCTTCATGTCTTTGTTTTTAAATCTAGAGTCCCTGTCTGAGAGAAAACGTGTGCCAATTGTCTTTTGAGTCAGTCTTATTTCACTTAATGTGACCTCCAGTTCTGTTCCTTGTCCTGCAACCGTCATAATTTCATTCTTCGTGGCCGAATCATATTCTGTTGCATATATACTGTGCTTTCTGTCTCCACTCATCCATTGACAGGCCCCCCGGGCAGATTCCATCACTCGGCTCTTATTATTTGTTTGTTTGTTTATATCAGTGTGACAGGTAGCCCAGACTGGTCTCCAGCACAGCTGAAGCTGACCTTGAACTCCTGATCCTCCTGCCTCTACCTCTCAAGTGCTGGGATTACAGGTGTGAACCACCATGTCCAGGAGAGTTGGCTCTTCTTAGTAGGGCTTCAGTGATGAACATGAGTGTCATGTACTGACTTAGAGTCTGTCTGATATGTGTCCCAAGAGTGATAGAGTTGGGTCATGTAGTAGTTTTTGTTTTTTGAGGAACCCTTATACTGTTTGCCATAGTAGCTGGGCTAATCCACATTCGCACCAGCGGTGAATAAGGCCTTCTCCCCCTCATCTACCACATATTTCCAGCAGCATTTGTCGTTTGTTTTCTTGATGGTGACTATTTTGACTGGGATGGGATGGAGTCTCAGTGTGGTGATTTGCATTTCCTTTGTTGCTAAGGGTGGTGAGTGGTTTTATTTTTTTTTTTTATTTTTTTTTTAATAGACTGACTATTTATACTTGCTTCTCGGGTAACATCCTCATAAATTTATCTGTTTACTTATTGAATGGGTTACTTATCCTCTTGGTGTCTCATTGTAGCCTTTCTATGCATTCTTCCCCTGTCAGATAAATAGCTGGCAAAGCTTGTCTCATCCATCTCATCGCTGGGAACTGTCTCCTTTCAATTCAATGCCATCACACTAATTGATTCTTGCTATAATCAGAAAATGGCTGCTTATGCCTACACCTTGAAGTGTTTCCTTATATTTTCTTCTGGTAGTTTTGGGTGTTACATGAAGGCCTTTGATCCATGGGAAATGCGTAGATAAAATAGTTGTTTTGAGATATAATACACACAGAGAGTTCTTTGCCCATTTAAAGTGAGTGCTTGCAGTAACTGGAAGAATGTTTACAGATGATACATCTAGGGTATAGTTTTAGAGCATCTTCATCCCACAGCTCTCCAGCCCCCTGCCCAGTATCCCAGCCTGTCTCCTCATCGCTGCTCACTCCTATCCCTGGTTGGACCAATTTTCTTCCACTGGGCTCTACATCAGTGACATCATGAGCCATGGGATTTCTGGGTTTTGTTTTGTTTTGTTTCTGGCTTCTTTCACGTTGTGGGGTGGTTCTAGGTTTGCCCATGCTTATATATCGTGTGTCAGTGGTTCATTCTTTTCTAGAGAAAGCGTTTTAAATTTTATTTATGTATTATTTGGGGAAAAGGAATGCCACAGCATATATGTAGAGGTCAGAGGACAATTTTCAAGAGTTGGCTCTCTCCTCCTACCATGTGAGTGCCAAGGATTAAACTCAGGTCATCAGGCTTTGTGGTAGGCACCTTTAGTCACTGAACCTTCTTTTTTTTTTCTGAGACGGGGTTTCTCTGTATTGCCTTGAACCTGTCCTGGAACTCGCTCTGTAGACCAGGCTGGCCTCAAACTCACAGAGATCCACCTGCCTCTGCCTCCCAAGTGCTGGGATTAAAGGTGTGCACCACCAACGCCCAGCTCATCACTGAACCATCTTACTGGCTTAATCCTTTCTTTTTTATGGTTTAGTTAAACCATTCCATTGTATGGATATCACATTGTATTTTTGCTTGAAGGACACTTGAGTTGTTTCTGTCCTGGTTGTTTTTGAGAATTCTGCTTTGAGTGTGTGTGTGTGTGTGTGTGTGTTTGCTCAGTACTGGGAAACTGAAGCTGGAGAAGTGACTTTGACTTTTTAAAAAACTGACCAGTACTCTGGGTTCATAAGTGGCAGGGCTATAATCTGATTTCCAGAGACTTCAGCATGATCCCCCTATGTGATGGAGAAGCTGGCTATTTGTGTTGGAGGTACCAAGGACCTGGTTCCTAGCAAGGCCGGTCACTGGCAAGATCAAGGGCCCATTGGCCTTTGTGACTCACCATGCTCCTCTCCCCGTACAGGGTGCCTCAGCCAACTGGTGGAACCATCGCCATTTCCAGCACCATGCCAAGCCCAACATCTTCCATAAGGACCCAGACATAAAGAGCCTGCATGTGTTTGTCCTTGGCGAGTGGCAGCCCCTTGAGGTATGAGTGAAGGGATGGTGTTGGTCAGGAAGTATCATGGGAAGAAGGAAGGAGTCCTGTAGAGTCAGCATTCAACCAGGACATCAGTACTTTCTGCTACCCAGAACCTTTCCCTAGTCACCCCGAGGTATTCCAGCTGTAGAATACTCCAGGTGTTCTACAGAGTAGCTTTCCTTGAGAGTACTGGACACAGAGCCTCATGAACTGGCTCAGTGTATCCGTCCTGCCTGCCCACAGGAAACTGGGTCAAGCTTTTCAGGAAGACAGAATTCTAGGCCTCCAGGATGGTCCAGTAGGCCAAGCCCATGCACAGGAGACGTTATCTGAAGAATGGCAGCCTATTCGAGCTGCCCTCACCAGCAGATGAGAAAGCAAGGCTCAGAGAAGACAGGAAGTGGTCGGAGGGTCTGGTCAGTCACCAGTTAGTACAGGATAAGCCTTCAGATCTTTGCTAGGACACATCTTTGTATTTGACCACACTTATTTTACTATCATTTTTAAATTACAAATATAGGACATGCTTGGTACAAACATTGAAATAGTGTAGAAATGTATATTCAGTGTCTTATCTGTGTCACTTCTTGGCCTCAGGTTTTATGGACCCAATAATAACCACTGCTAATGAGAAGCCAGATAACTTTGAAGTGTCTGGGCCCTGTCTCCGGCCCTCAATATTGTCTGTGTGTAAATGAATATGTGCCTTAGTTAGGGCTTCTATTGTTGTGCAGAGATCATGACCATGGCAACTCTTATAGGAAAACATTTAACTGGGGCTGGCTTACAGTTCAGAGGTTCAGTCCATTATTATTGTGGCAGGAAGCGTGGCAGCATGCAGGCAGATGTGGTGCTAGAGAAGGAGCTCAGAGTTCCACATCTTAATCTGTAAGCAACAGGAAGTAAACTGACTTGAGCTTCTGAGACATCAAAGCCGGCCCCCAGAGACACACTTCCTCCAACAAGGCCACATGTCCTGATAGTGCCACTCCCTGTCTGTAGGGCCATTCCTGTTCAAGCCACCACAACGTGCATGTATCTTTTTCTTTAAAAACAAAACTAGAAATAAGGTATGCCTTCTATTCTACAGCTTACTACTTCCAATGTGGACCTTGTTCCAGGAATTCAAGGGGCTTGGTCTCATTCCTCCTGGCGACTGTGTAGTATTGCATTTCATTTATATGTTCTAGTATGATACACTATGTCATTTAAGAAATTTTTGTGCTGCTGATCTTAACTTCCCTCTTTGGGTGAGTGCTGGGGTTCAAACTCACCCGTGTTAAGCACGTGTTCTACCATTGAGCTCTTTAGCTTTCTCCTATGATTCTGCACCCACAGCCTCTTAATTTTCTTTTAATAAAAGCACACCCAACCAGGCATGGTGATAACGTCAGCATTCTGGCAGGAGGCAGGAGGATTTTAAATGCTTAACTTGAGACTTTTGTCAAAAACAAAATAAAGGGCTAGTGAGATGGCTCAGTGGGTAAAGGCGCTTGCTGCCAAGCGTGACAACTGGAGTTTGATCCCTGAGACCCACATGATCATAGAAGGAGAGAATTAAATCCCTTACATTGTCTCTGACCTCTGCACATGCACTATGTACTGTGTCAAGTGTATGCCTCTAATCTTAAGACATCAGGAAGCTGAGATAAAGGAATTACTATGAGTTGGAGACCAGCCTGGTCTGCATACCAAGAAGTGCCTTTTTAAAAGGGGGTGGTTATTCTATACTTTTTTAAAAAGTAGAGCCTCTATATTAGGGTTTAATTTACAAAAAGAAAGCAAGAGCAAAAAAAAAAAAAAAAATCTGTCCATGTTGCTATCTTGGAAATATATTGAGGGTGGACACAAGTCAAGCTGAGGGTATAGTTCAGTGGCAGAGACCTTGCCTCAAATGCTCAAGGCCTTGGGTTCAATCCCAACATAGTGCTGGGAAATCACAGTGTTGGGCAAAGCAGAGCTCTCAATAGGTAGTTATGAGAGAATACAATCTTGCCCTCAGTAGACAGGGTCATAGAAGGAGGAGTTTCTTAGCTGGGTTTGGCATCCAAGGTTTGTAACATAGACAAGGGAGAGCCTGTCCCACTCAGTTCTGATTTGTATTCCTGCCTGACCCACGATACACAGAACATCAGCCACAGTTCTGAACTTTGGCTAGGCAAGGATTTCATTTTCTGCCCAACACCTGTCTTTGTTTCTCTTCTAGGAAATGACTTGTTAGTTTTGATTAGAAGTGTTTGATAGTAGAGTTATTATCCAGAAGCTTTCTGATAGTGAGGACAAAGGCTTCCTGAACGCCTGTGGTAAAGCTGTTAGCTGTTCTCACAGATGGTCCTAAGTCCCTAAAGGAAAGCCAGGCTCATCAGCTCTGCAGACCAGCTGCACAGTAGCTGATGGATTCTGTCCCATGTCACTTCTCAAATGCTGGATGACTTTGGGAGGGAGGGTGGTAGGAGTCTGCCCGTCCTCTTGGCAGTGGCATTTGAAGATGGAGGCCAGTATCACAGTGTCCATGGAAAGTCTCTCTTGGGCATTCAGGTATTTACAAGGGAAACGCCGTGTTTCCTGGGTTCCTGGTTGAACTGTGTGGAGTGTTCAAGAGACTATGCTGACCTGAAGCGTGCCCTGGCCTCTAGTTGGGGTGACCGCTCTTCCAGCACATCTCAGCAGAGCCCCAAACGGCTATGCCTCAGGAGCTTGAGCCTCCATCCCAGACTGTAGAGCTGATGCCTGCCAAGGCCTTTATCACAGGTGTGGACGACCAGACCAGACACAAGAGCATTCGATTCACAGAAATATTAAGAGCGGTATTCCACCACCTGGTCATATTTTGACTTCTGGGAAGGGTGTTCTTAGTTTGTTTTATGTGGCACTGTGCATTCAGTTTCTCTCCTGGGTGTTCTTTTCAGTTTAGGGAAGTTCTCCCCACAGTATTTTCAGTGTTTTTCAACGGCTTCATATCTCAACTTTTAGCTGTGGTGGGGTGTGGTGGCGGTGGCGGTGGGGGGGGAATGCCAATACCTCTTTTTACACTGATGCATTTAATTTATGTGTGGTCCATTTGTGTGAGGACTACTTGTATGAGTTAGTTCTGCTCTTCGACCATGTGGGCTCTGAGGATGTAACAGGTTATCAGGCTTGGCAGCAAGCTCCTGTAGCCTCTGAGCCGTCTCACTGAACCTCAGGAGGATTTGAGTGTGAAGTGGCCCGCTTCTCCGTTCTCTGAAGTCAGTGCATGTCCTCAGCCAGGAAAGGGCTATATTGCCCTTTGCAAACCCCAGGGAGCTCTCCTACCCCCAGTGCCCACTCTCGACAGTGGCTCCTCCCTCGTGGTGCTGGCTGTGGGGCCTGCTTTGTAATACTTCATGCATGCCCGTCTTTCCATGTGTGTTTGCCCTCTGACATCAGGCTCTCCAGCACTGAAGAAGCGGTTGGAGGCTGCCTCGTTGTGCCCAGGGAGTGTCTCCTGAGGCACTGCATACTCAGTCATACATACTCTTACAAATAAGGAGGCCAATGCCTTCTCTCTACGGCACCACTCCATTATTACTGCGTGGCTTTTCGGTGCTGGGTGGGACCTCTCCACCTAATTAAACTGTGGTATACGCAATAGTCTTGTCTGCCACCCTTCCCTTTTGCCATGCCACTATCCCCATAGCATAGTCAGCATATTCTCAGAAGCCGGAGTGTGCCAGCCTTCCTGCCTGGGGGCTTCTTCCTCTACTCATCTGGGAAGCACCGCTGCTTTCTACTTACCTTCCTGCTTCCAGCAGAACCTTTGGCCCCACCCCAGCTCCTAGGACATATGTGGCCCTCTTCTTGGGTGGGCATCTAGCATCCTGCCAGTGTCTGCTGTGGCCACATTGTTCATTGCTCTGTGTGTGAGTTCCCAGAGGCAGCGAGTGACAACACCTGCCAAACCACCCCTCAGCTCTAGACAGACAAGCAAGGCCCTTGTTATTCCTGACACTTCGTTCCTAACCTGAAAGGACCTTCCTTCTACATGACCTTGCCGGGTGTCTGACGTATCATTTATTTTTCTTCTTGCTGCCACAAAATGCCTGACAGGAAGCCATTTAAAGAAGGAAGGGTTTATTGGGCATTTATTAGAGATAAAGGCAATGCATCCCATCATGGTAGGGGAGGTGTGATGGCGGGAGCAGGAAGCTGGCTAGTCACTGCCTCTGCAGTTGACAATAGAGATGAATGTTGTGCTAGGCTTGCTTTCTCCTTTTTATTGAGTCTAGGAGCCCTGGTTGTGGAGTCATGCTGCCTGCTGTTAGAGTAGGTCTTCCCACCTCAGTTAACCTAAGCTAGATAACCCCTCACAGGCATTCCCAGAAGCTTGTTTCTGGGAATGAGTCTAGAGCCTGTCAAGTCAATAATCAATATTAACTATCACAGTGTCATCTCTTAACACCCAAACACATCACTTTTGTGCTATAACCTTCCCCTGCTGATCATGTAGTCTCATGGCATCTCACAGTTCAACTGCAGTCAGTCCAACTTCAGCAGTCTCTATTGTCTTTAAAAGTTCCAGTACTGTTTGTTCACACGTGTAAATGTAGGAGTTGGTTAAGGTCAATTGCTACTCTTCCAGAAGACCCAAGTTCAGTTCCTAGCAGAGTTCAGATCTTAGCAAACCATGTTGGGCAGCCCACAGTTGCTTGTAACACCAGCTCCAGGGGATCTGACACCCTCTTCTGGCCTCCATGGGCACCTTCACTCACACATGGGCACAAACACATAAATAAAAATGAGAAAATACGTCTTTTAAAAAAGTGTAAGTATGCAGTCTCTTTGGAGTCTCTGTCAGCCTCTTCACTGTGAGCTCCTGTAACACTGAAGCCCACAGGCATGGCACAGAGTAAACATTCACATCCCCAAAGGATGGGCACAGCAACCAAAGCAGGACCGATACCCAGCGTGGCAAACACCCAAAGCTAAAACTCCATTTGTAGCCCCTAGGGATTGCAGTAGAATCATCTGGGCGTAGGGAGCCTTGT